ATTATGAACATCTATATGCCAGTTTTTATTCACCAGGACTCTAGAAAAATTTGTGTACGTATAGACCATTATATTTACTTGTAAACAATTTCAAAAGCTGACACTTTCAAAATTACCTACTGATGAGTTGGGATAGTCAGATATATGTTTCCAAGAGAATGATAGCTTTATTATCATTTATTCTGAAAGATAGAAATGGCATTCTTAAAGCAGTTCATAGAAAAGCATTTATGCACAAAACCCATCCAGTATTAGCATACATAAAGAGAAAACCTCCTTCTTTTGTTGCAAAAATCTATTCATTCACTGCAGTCTAATCACTGGGTATGTGCCAGGCACAAGGTGGAAGAGTTACAAAAATGATGATGACATTGGCCTTGCACCTTTGAAGAGTTCACAGTTCTGGATGGAGAGAGGAGGTATATAAACAAATAATTATAAGAACAAAGTACCTTGACGGATATAATAAAAGACAAAATTAACTTGTTTTTAATTGAGTTTTACCCACATCTTTCAAGCAAGATATTTTACTTAGGACTAAAAAATGAGTAAAAGAGGAATTTGAGAGGCAATAATAGAGGGTAGTATCGAGAGGAAAGAACACTCCAAGCAGAAAGGACAACATGTAAAAGAAGTGGGTAGAGATAACAACAAATCAACGGCTGGGCCCTGAGAGGGCAAAGAAAGTATTAAGAAAGGAAAGAGCATCCAGACACAAAGTCAGGTTGAAAGGTCATAGCTGTTCAGATTATTGGTGTGTTTTAGTATGTGTGGACTTTTATCCAAAGCCAAATGGAATCATTTACACTTGTTAAAATGTCTAGTAGGAAGCTGAGTACAGTCGTACATGTCTGTAATCCCAGAACTCAGGAGGTTAAGACAGAGGGATCACGAGTTCAAGGCCAGGCTGGACTTCACAGTAAGACTCTGGAGGATACATGTTAAATTTACAAGTACAGTACTGGGAGCATGTGGAGAAGAGAGATGTAGGCCTGGAGCCAGGTAACCAGTTGGAAGCCACTGCAATATAGTTCAGGTAAAAAATTATGGACCTTAGGCCATGCATGCATCTGTAGCTCAGGAAGGAGAGGCCTAGGAAAATACACCTGTGAGTATTCCATAGTTAGGGGATAAAACCCAGGGAATGGAATGAGGAAACCACTGACTATGATACTACTTATGGTGTAAGTGAATTCCTGGTGTACCCACTTTACATTCTCATAGTAATTAAACATGACCACAACACAGAGCATGAGGCAATATGGAAAAGTGCTGGGTTTGTTAAAAAGATCACAGGACACATATAGCAACATGGATGCATCTTAGAAACCTGATACTGTGTGAAAGCCATACATGAAAATGAACATACTACACTTTCCATTTATATGAAATTCTAGAAGAAACAAAACTAACCCATGGTGATAAAGATCAGATCAGCATTTGATTTTGGAGAAGGGAAGGATCCACTAGAAAAAGGCATAAGGGAATTTTCTGGGATCAAGAAAATGTTCTTTGCATTGATGAAGATGTAGATTATATTTTATGAGCATATATGCCTCTCAAAACTAATGTGGAGGTCAAGGCAAGCCTGGGATATATAGGGAGGTCCTGCCTCAAGAAATAAAAATAAACCAGATAGAATAGGAATCTCATTATATATAAATTACACCTTACTTTAAAAAAAAATCAAAATACAAAGATAAGGTACCATGCAAATAAGTTATTCCAGAATAGGAGAGCTAGAGGCTATTTTCTTCTTGCTTAAAAATATTACTTTCAATCACTGTTCTTAAATACAAAGGAATTTTAAAACTTCAAATTCCAATAAATATTTATCAATTGTCCATGAAGATGTGAAATAACAACATTTTTTCCATAGGAAGCTGGATAAGAATCTCTGCAAGTAGGACCCTATTGTGTGAAGGTAACAGAAAAACACAAGATACAGTACAATATCATGGTGTCACAGAATGAGTGAGGGGAGCCTCATAGCTCTGTTCTGAGGAGACTGAGATGGGTTTTATTGAAGAGTTTTTGCGGATACAGACAGTAAGTCATTCAAGGAGGGTGTGTGGCGCAGAAGGCAGAAACATGCTGGTTGTATCTGGATAAGATGGCTCACCTTTGGTAGTAGAGGATATTTGTCAGGGTGCTAATGAAATGGCAATGGGATGGTCAGTCAATGGTGGGGACAAATGGAAACATTTAAATTCTGAGGGTCAAAAGCACAGACTCTACTTGGGTTCCAGTGCTGCTGAATTTATGAATTGTCTTTTATCCTTTGTAGCTCTTAGTATTTTGGGAACCTAATCCCAATTTTTATAGGAAAGGTAAAGAAAAGTCATCCAGTTGGAAAGTGACACCAACGATTCCTCTGTTTTTTTGGAGGGCAAGGATAGATACTTTTAGTATCTATCTTTGAGGGTGATGATGAGGACAATGATGATGGAAGCTTTCTCTTGAGATACTTGTGATGGGCCATGTACTATGTAATTGCTATTTATCTATTATTTATCTTACTATTTCATCCATACTCCATAGCAACCCAGCAAAATGTACAGAGACTTCATATTACTAAGGAGGAAACAATACTCAAGAAGTCAGATAACTTCTAACTAGGAGTAGATGGTCAAAAACCTATACTACTAACTCCACACACTAAACTTCATTGTATCAGATCAGGTCTCACTTCTATTTGAGTCTTAAGACCTGTCCTAGGGAATTTCTAGTAATATTTCATCTAATTACTTTTCCTTTCCATAATATGCCCTGACAAAACAGTAAATGTGTTTAATTATTATACACTACAAAATTGCATACATCCTAATACCTATTATTTAATAGCAGTTAATACTAGATACCGGACACTTTATGCTGTTACCTCATGTGAGCCTCATAATTATCCTTTGGGGGGGACAATTATTCCTGCCATTTTACAGAGAATGAAAGTGAGACAGATGAGGTATACTGTGACCTGCTCCAGGCCATGTACCTGGATTACTGGTTCAAATGGCATAGTTTTAAACATTTTACTGCCTCAAACTTGAAAACTGAGTTTTAAGTTTTGCTATGTAAACCCATCTATTTTTGTCTCAGCTTGTGCTAACTAACAACCCATCTAGAAGCTTTGAGTGCAGTCTTCTAGCCAGTTTCATCACAAGTGTTTAAAGAAGTCTCTTCTCTCCCCTGACAGAACCAAACCCTTTCCAAATGCCTTACACTGTTATTTGAGCAACCTTGCCTGATTCAACAGCAACAATATCACCTTCCCTGAGTCCAGCCTAGGTGACAGAATTGTATGGACAGGCCACCCATTGCATCCTGACACTCTGGCAGCAGTAGGAAAGGCATACCAGAGCACACTCTCCTTATCACAGATTGAAAAGAGACTGGGTACAACTTGAAGGCTATTTCCTGTCAGACTATGTGACTAACTAGAGGTGCTGAGCACCTAGGCCTCAATCGTTTAATTGTGCCAGACACTAAAAAGTAAAAAGAGGATCACCAGTTCAAGCAGAGTGAATGAGCACAGTGTTCTGTTCTTGGTTCTGCCTGGCCTTGGAGAGATAGGAAACCTGAAAAACGAGGCAGGTTCATCTCCAACTCCACTGGATTCTGATGAACTCTGAAACACACAAAAAGCTCTCTTTCCTGATCTCCTAACTCTGCACCCATTACAGTATTTAAGGCACGGTCAAAAGCAAATTAAGTTGCTCTTTGGGCAATCAAAGGGGTGGGAGTCAAGTAACATGGCAGAAAGCCATTGAAGTCTCAGGGCTGGGCTGCCTCACCACAGCTGTCTCTCAAGTCTTTGGGGTTTGGAAGTTTCACTTGTCTTGAAATTACTTTTCCATAAATGGTCCTTCATTTTCATAAGGTAAAAACTGATGCCTTTAGCTAGGTTCATGAATCCATAGGTTTAGGCAGGAGTTTGGTCTCACCTCCCTCTGGGAGGTGAAAAAAGCAGAGGAATGCAGAGAGAAAATCTTAACTCCATATGCACTGGCCCTTGATCTTTGCCCTGGTTGGGCCAGGAGTGGAAGCAGTGGTGTTGGTTTAAGAAGTTACAGTCCAGCATTATATAGGTAATGTTTAAACTGTGGTCTTGTCCAGAGAAAAAGAGGCATATCCTTTTAGAACTGGCTGAACACAATTTGCTTCTCCAGTTGTTACCTAGGCATAACTTACCCTCATACCTATGCATACTTTCAGTAGAGATTTCTGGCATACACAGGAAACCACAAAGAGCAAGGAGAGCACCTTTTGATGAACAACTACAGTCTGGCTGAAGTGCAAATAGGAAGTCTCTAGGCTGATGAGCCCCCACAGAAGTCAGTTCACTCCAACTCAGTAGTCAAGGTAGAAGAGGCAGTATTGTCTCTGCCCCTCAAACTTAGGACCTCTAGGACAGACAAGAGCTAAAGTAGTCTGACCTGTGACAGTGGGTGCTAAGAGCTGCAGGCACACAGCTACCTGTTAATCCACTCTAACCCTAGCCCTATCCAATTTGTAAGATTACCATAAAATATGCCTTTTTCAGATGGGCAGTCCTAACAAGCTTCATTCTTTGAACTATATTCACTATTCACAAAACATCCCTAGGAAGTGTAACGTAACTACTGTTATCATAGAGGGAATATGAATACTTTTTAATATGAAAAATGGTTTAGGAAAAAACATGACAGAATTATTAAACAGGAATTCACACAATTACAAAAATCATTTTGTCCGTCTCTCTTCAGCAAGAGACATGGATTGGTCATCAGAGGTTCTGCTAGGCTTAGATCAGTGCCAGGAATTCTGGGAACTTGAGGTCAAGCTGCCAAGATTCAAAAGAAATGTCTACAGTAAGTGTTTGCACAGATAAGGGAGTGGGAGAGCTGATGACTGCCAGCATGCAACTCCAGCCACAACACAGATGGGAAGACCACATTTTCCAATTTTCCCCTTGCTCTGTTACATTGACCAAAACAAAAACAAACAAACAAAAAAGATCTTACCTAGCTCTCCCCGGAGGTTAACAAGTTCTTGAGATAGGGTTTTCTGTTGCTTCAGCGCTTCCTCCTGCTGCGGAAAACACACATCAGGTTACTAATGTTTTGAAGAGGGCCCCTTTCAGTAAGTGAAATTTGTTATCACTAAGAAAATGAGACCCAGAATTGAGAAGCCAAGATACAAATCATTTAGGTTTGTGTTGTCAAAAAAATACAGATGTCCCTTAGTTGTGGAGGAAATTTGTGTTTCAAACATAGGTATTTTCTCAGGTCCTAGTGAAACTTTTCCTTTGAGGAACTGAATGGCTCATTTAAAAATGTTTGCTTTGAGCCAATGCTTCAGAGCAGAGCCATAGAACCTTTTAGCTAATGCATGCTGTACTTAAGACATAATGTGTTCTCCTCCAAGAGCAATAAAGGCAAAATGAGCTTAAGATAAATATTTAATGTTCTAAACATAGGCACTTATATGGACTTTGTCCTATATCTGCAAATAAGAAAGTTTTGTTACAAGGTCAATTCTTTACTTCTAAAAGACAAAAAAAAAAAAAAAGTTTGCTACAAAGCTACAACCTAAAAGAAAAAGATTATTTAAAGACAAAATTAAATTGATTTTACTCAGCTGCACACTAGCTTCAAAGAATTATTATATCTTAGAGCAGCTATGATTCTAAATAGATGCTAAGAGAAATGAACCAAAGGAAACCAGGCAGCTGTTTCAGTTCTAAAAAAGCAATTTATCAACCTTGCGATAATGAATAATTTTCAAGTTACCTGCAACTCGTAGCAATCACACATTCACCTTCTATAAACATAGTCATGAGACACATTTCCTCACGAGGTAGGTTCCCTAGCACCAGGGCATTACTAAGGAAGATGCAGAATGTCCAAGCTCTCTGAAAATGCCCTCACTGGGATCTCCTGGACAGAGCTCCCACCGCACCTTGATCATTGTACTGCAGAGATCATGAGACCTGGCTTTGCAGGCAAGAGTTGCTTGTCATTCAAAGCATTTCCCCAATTCCAGACACCCTCCACAGGAGTCCCTGACATTCTTCCAGAAAAGCACTATAAACAAATACTAATTACCCTTGATGCTGCACATGGAGGAGAGAGGCACATTTTGCTGCTGGGGCAGCCCATTTTCCAGCTTCTGTCTCCAACTCTCCCACCCCCCTCACTGTCCAAGAAGTACACAGGTGGCTGTGCCTCCCACCAGCTGGGTCTGTCTCCATTCAATGCTCTACCAGGAGGAGCGCCATTGGCCCTCAGCGGCCATCCAGCACGTCCTGCAGGTTACCGTATGCCTCAGACTCCTCTCTCCCCACAGAAGCTGATACTGCAGCTTCTGCCTTTGGCACAAGCAGCCTGTGATTACTTAAAGCCACAGCCCTTCATTTATGAAAAATGAGAGCCAGACATTAGACTGATCGATTGCCACTTACTTAAATATCAGCTGGGATGGTAGAAACAAGAACTGACCCTCTCTGCATGGATAATGGAGTTATTTTTAGATTTGTGAGCCTTTTTGCTCCCCTCTCTAATTGAGGTCATTGGATTATCACACTTACTTATAGAAAAGGGAATCTTGTTCTTCGAAACCCATATACTAAATGAGGTTATGAACTAGGTGAAGGGCAATGAAAAGGGGCGTGTTATGATTTGGAATTTTAAATGACATTATGAAAGGTACATTGTTTCCCTCAAAATTTAATTTGATTGATAGAACACGGTCCTTTAAGGTTTAAAAAACTCTGAAGTGCTGATTTAAGAGTTGGAAATTATATATATTTAACACTTTTGTTTTGCACTAGTCTGTCTCCGCTAGCTAAGGAAAAAAGGAAATTAACTCTAAACATTAGCACTATCATGTAGATAGGTTAATGGTGATTGGAACTTAAGAAATACTTTCTTTTTTTCATCAAGTACATTTTGACCTTAATGCCTTAAAAAAATGGTCTTAATTTGTTCTAAAATTACAGTCAGTGAATCCAAGTTTTAAGTATAATAAATAAGTGGTCTTCTATTGTAAAAATTAAAAATTGAGAACAACCAGCTTGGACTATGGAAAAAAATATACATATATTCTTCTATTAATCTCACTAATTTAAGCCTTAATTTATTACTCTACTTCAGATAAACAGCAACAAAAAAAACCCAGAAGACAGCTTTTACTAGCTATCCACTTATAATCCCAAAATACATTCAACGAACTTGCTTGAAGTCCACTTTCCAATAATAGCCAAGTTGCTAACAGAAAGAGATGGCAAGAAAATTAAACTGCTTCCCAAATTTATGGGAACTAAAAGGAAGATGACAAAATATAAAACTACAGGTGGCATAATTTCAAAGAATGATCTTATAAAAAACCATTATGTCCTATCACAAATACACACCAGGTGACATTTTGCTTATTATAGGGGTTTGGATTGGGGAACAAGGAATTTCAGTATGTGTATGAACATCTCCCCCCAATTCCTCTGCACTCTACCATCCTGTCCTCAGAGACTCAGAAGCCACTTATGCCTTGGACACCTGCCAATCATAGTAGCAGCAAGAGGGTCTTCAGGTCATCCTTCACTCCTTATGTCAGTAGTTGTTTGAAAGTCAATAACTCTTCCTTCATGCCATGTCTCAAATCTTCTGTACTGTTTTCTTGATGCTACCTGTGTCTAGTCTTAATTCTCACCCAGTCCTGGACTGCGGAAAGGATTTCTTCACTTTTTAGATGGCTGCTACATGATTAGCCCATATTATTTATGCACATAACCATCCTGTTCAAAAAAGACTCTCACTGAGAGCATTAAAAACAAAAACAGAGCTGGAGGTATAGCTCAATAGCAGAGCATGTGCTTAGCATGTGTGAGGCCTCGGGTTCCGTTCCCGGAACAAAATGAAAATAAAGTCACTGTAGGTAGTTTCGTGGACCTGAACTGTCCAGCTCCTGTCGAGATGCTCAGCCTCTGTTCTGTGTAAGTCACAGGCATCACTGTTACCACTCCCTTCACAATCTTGTAAATGGCACTCTCTTTGATGCCTGGCTTCTTTTTCACCTGACCTATTATCTAAGCCTTCTGGAATGTTAAATATCAGAGACACCATCCCCGGTCCATCCAAGTGCCTAGAAGGGACATTTATCCTTCTGCATTGGTTGACAAGTGATTAGTCAATACTACCTACCTATGCTATAAAATATGTAAGAAGTTTAAGATACAGACCCTGCCTTCAAAGAGCTTGGGACTTAGGTAGAACTAAAATGTCCAGAACCAGTTTCTTTGGTCATCGAACAAAGAAAATGACCTCATCTGAGGGGAAGTAGTATAGAATAATGGAAAAACTGTGGGCTCTAAATATGATCAATGTGAAATGGCAACCACAGTGCCCATACCATAATAGACTAATATTGTCAGTTTCTACCCCACTTCTCCTGGTAGCTTGTCCTTTAAATGTGCTTTGCATTACTTGTAGATGACAAAATAATATTGTCAGTTAAGATACTGATTCAGTGTTTCTTTTGATTCAGATGCTCCTCAGTGCTTCTGTCTCAGATAATAAGCTCTCTATAGTCCAAATGACAGATTTATTATTTGATTCCCTTTATATTGTAACATGTAGAATTCCCCCATCATATAATATAGGTGGGAATCATATATAGAGATATTTTTATACCTCTGCATGAAATATAAATATATGAAGTGCTCCAAGAAAAAAAATGGACCCATCCATAATTTAATTAGGAGTGTCTGGGACACAGGCACTTAGTCACTGGCTGTCATCCCATCAGTGCGCCTGAATTCTGCTGGCTCCTGAACAGCATCAACAGTACAAAGGACCTTGCAGAAAAAGCCACATCAGAGAGCTCAGTGACAGCTATATCCACCTCCTCCCATCAACTACACAGTGGATTTTTTAGTGTGGCCACTTTCTTTTGGTCAATTTTACTTAAAGGAAATGGTTAGCATCACTCAAAAATCCACCTTTGTTTAGGTGCTAGCCTAGGTCAGATTTCACTTGCAAATCAGGATTTGGAAACACTTTAAGAATGAATCAGAGGTTTAGGGATACCGGAAGGCCCTTTTATGGAGACATGGGGGTTACTACCATCAACACTGTTGTTCATGTTGGCTGTCTGTGCAGAACACTATCCAATCATGCCAGGAGGAACTACGAATTACAAACTGAAACTAACATTGGTATGTTCTTGAAAAATAGTGTGATGTAAGTTTCCAAAGTGATGATACATTTACTAGAATTTCTGCTACATAATGCATTGTAGTTATTAGACTTGCAAAAGAAATATAGAGATAGTTCTGGGATTCCCTATAATTAATATATCTTTACCCATTCTCTAATGTTTCAAAGTCATATATATGCAATTTACACATACATTTATACATATATAAAATACATATACAACATACCTGTAGACACCCATACCAGACTTCTATAATGGGCATGAGAGAACTAAAAAGTTAAGGGAAATTTTTTTTAATTACTTAACTTCCTCCCTGGTTATATCTTTCCAAATGTTTTGTAACAGTACTATGTATATATTAGGCAATCATTAAACATTTACTGATTATAAAATAAAGAGAGAAGGAGCAAAGAACATTCACATAAAGACTTTCGGTGAATCTTACATTTGTGATTCCAACCTCTCTAAGCATTTGTTCACTCAGATATATACTGTGTGTCTGCTGGAGTGGTTTTATAAGAAAGAACTGGAGGCAGATTCTGCTCTCAGTGAACTTCCTGTGTTAAAAATAAGAAACAAGCACTAAATGGGTATGTATCATATGGAGAATGAAAGGGAAGTATAAGTGTTCCTAGAATCCACAGAAGGATGGATAGAATCATAGAGCTACAAGACCCAGTAGAGTGTCCATTGAGAAGAGAGTTTCTGAGTTTTAATCAGTAGAGTCACAATTACATAGGCATTATACTGTTATTTGAATATGAAGTGTTCCCCTAAAAGACTCATGTGTTGAAGGACTGGTCCCTAGCTGGTGGTAGTTGGATCATAAAGTTGCTGACCTCATCAATGGGTTAATCCATGAATGAGTTCATAGCTAAATGGGCTATGAGGAGGTGGAGCCTGGAGGAAGTAGTTCACTGGGGGCATGGCTTTAATGGGTATGTCTTTGTCCCTGACCCTTTCCTGTGTTTCTCTCTTCCTCCTGCCCACCATGAAGTAAGCCACTTCCTGTACAACATGCTACCCACCATGATGTTCTGCCTCACCACATATAGGCCCTAAAGCAATGGATCCAAGTGCCCCCAGACACATACTAGGACCTACATTGAGGTGTAAGTGAAATTCACATGTGACAAGTGCCCTAGAAACTCACTAAGAGATTGCCACATTGTAGACTAACAAAATACCCTTCAGTATATACAACTTAGTGGACTTTTAATCTAGTGTTGGAGCTATTCTTTCCCCAACTGAGCAAGCACATAATAAAGTATTTGGCATGTGCTTAGGGTCCAAATCAACATGGAGAAAAAAAGTATCTTAAGTTAGCATACAGTGTAGAATGTTCATGCCGTAAGCGGTATTTAGGGACTGAGAAGATGCATGACAAGTAGACTCCTGCTTTCTTCTCAAAATCTATTCCTGGATCTTTTCCATGGAGATAATGGAAGGTAGGACTGCCTTTTTAACTTGCATTTTACTTTGATCATGTGTGAAGTAAATCTGTGTAAATCAAATGCAGGTAGTGGTGTGAGGATGCTGTAAGAAGGACCTAAACATGTATGCATTAGAGGGACGAGCAGTACCCCAGTAACAAAGGAAAAATGACAGGAAGTTTATGGGAAATTTTTAAGTTCAAAGGCCTAGCTTTGGATTACTAGGATTACTGTTCCTCCTCTTGCTTGCTGTCTGATGTTACCTAACAACACCATGCCTTATTTTTCTTATTTATAAATTCCAACTCATTGTGGTCTGGCAGAGGATTTAATAAGTAATCATATCTAGTACTTAGTAAATATTGAATAAATGTTAAATCCCTCTTGCTTCCCCTTCAGCTCCCTAATATATAGCTGATTATTAGGGCAGTGAGGGTTACATTAAAAAGGATGGTTGTCACTCTGGAAAAAAATTTGGAGGCTACTTAAAAAGCTAAACATTGATCTACCATTTGATCCAGCAATACCACTCTTGGGGATATACCCAAAAGACTGTGACACAGGTTACTCCAGAGGCACCTGCACACCCATGTTTATTGCGGCACTATTCACAATAGCCAAGTTATGGAACAGCCAAGATGCCCACCATGAAGAATGGGATTAATTAAAATGTGGTTAATCTATACAACAATGGAATTTTATACAGCCATGGAAAGAAGAATGAAATGTTTCATTCGCTGGTAAATGGATGGAATTGGAGAACATATTCTGAGTGAGGTTAGCCTGGCCAAAAGACCAAAAATTGCATGTTCTCCTCATATGTGGACATTAGATCAAGGGCAAACACAACAATGGGTGGCTATGAGCACATGATAAAAGCAGAGCACACAAGGAAGGGGGGAGGATAGGTAAGACACTTAAAAAAATTAGCTAGCATTTGTTGCCCTTACGTAGAGAAACTAAAGCAGATACCTTAAAGCAACTGAGGCCAATAGGAAAAGGGACCGGAACTAGAGAAAAGGTTAGATCAAAAGAATTAACCTAGAAGGTACACCCATGCACAGGAAATCATGTGAGTCAATGCCCTGTATAGCTATCCTTATCTCAACCAGCAAAAACCCTGTTTCCTTCTATTATTGCTTATACTCTTCTCTACAACAAAATTAGAATAAGGGCAAAATGTTTCTGCTGGGTATTGAGGGGGTGGGGGGGAGAGGGAGGGGGCGGAGTGGGTGGTAAGGAAGGGGGTGGGGGCAGGGGGAAGAAATGAACCAAGCCTTGTATGCACATATGAATAATAAAAGAAAAAAAAAAGGATGGTTGTGCCAAATTATAGAGCCTTATATTCTAAGTATAAACCAGAGTCATCCAAAATGAATATGTTAGTCATTTATGTAATTTAAAATTTCCTAGTAGCCACACTGTTTAAAGTTTTAAAAGGTAGTTAATTTTGACAGTATATTTCACTCAACCCAAAAATCTGCAATATCATTTCAATAATCAATATAAAATTATCAATGATATTTAACATCCTCTTTTCCAATCTGAGTCTTTAAAATCCAAGTTATTTCAAACTTACCATGCATCTCAATTCAGACTGGTTTTATTACAGATGCTTAAAAGCCTCCTAAGGCTAGCAGATTCTATACTGGACATATCAGCTGTAGAAAATGGGGAACCACTGGAAGATTTAATTAGCATAATGGAAGCCTTTGGAAAGATGGAGCGGTTGGCATAGATTCTAGGGGAGAAATGATACCAGCATGAAGACTAGCTATGAAGTTGCTATCAGAACCTAGTGAACAGCCATTCAGAGTTTGAAACAAGGATGGCATTACTAGGACTGGCAAAGATGGGATAAAGGGGAGAAACAGTATCAGTTCAGAGTTCACTGGATCTAAGATTGACTTAATGTGGGAGACAAAGGACAGAAAAGAGTGAAGATGGAGTAATTAGGTTGGATGCAATATATCAATTGGTTTATCTCTAAATAGAAAACTAAATGTTTCCCTCACTTGATATCATATGGTTTCCAGTTTAGCCTACTTGATTATATAAGCCAACTCTTGATTTCCTTCTTTACATATTAAAGAGAAAAATACTGTATCAGACTGTAACTAAAATACCAAGTAAAAATATAGCTCAGTAGTTTAGCATCTGCTTAGCACACTCAAGGTTCTAGGTAGTCTTGTAGCTCCTCAAAGACACAGAACAAGTCTCATTCATTCATCTCCCCCTTCCTACACAAGCATCCACAGCTCAGTGGCCTCTGTATAAAATGACTGGGTTTATTGGATTAAAAAGATTTATAGAACCAAACTGAACAACTTTCTTCTTTGGAGGTTCATATATATATATCTCAATCTTTAAAACTGTGATTGAAATATATTTAAAGAACTCAAGTTATATCCCCATCCTAATTCTCCCCTTAGAAAAATTGTAACTTCAGTTTCTATGCATATTTACATAAACTTCTCAATGAACTTTAACCAGGTCCTAAATTAATATCCCTGGGGAATATCATGGAAGAGTAAGTAAATGAAGCAAATTTGCTTTTGTTGTAGTACTAATTATTTTAGGAATGGGTGGAAATTCTGAAAAGTCCCCAGACATGATTCTGAGACTTTCCTCAGAATTGACCCGTAAGTATAACCCACCTAGTATTTTTCAAAGCATAAATCAAATGTGATGCAGAAAGCTACATATAGTTAGACCAAAAAACCTGAATGCTATTTTGGGGTCTACAGCTGTGTAAGAATACTACAGGCAATTATATATCTGCTGTTGTCCTTAACAAGAGACTCTAGGGGAGACAAGGAAGCACTAACAAATGTTTCCATCCCAAATTTCTAGAGCCTGACTCACGAATCAGGTGAGTAGACGAACACAATTAGGTGAATTTTACTTGATCTTCCCAATCATTAACTAAAATGTATTAACATGACAAGATTATAAGCATCAATTCTCAAACCCCTCCCCCGCACCTCAGTGAGGGTCCTCAGAGGGTTCACGTCCTTACCTGAGACAGGAGGTGCTGGATCACAACCGTTAGTGCTTCAAATCTGGCGTTACCACAGGAGAGAAGCTGCTTGAGCTGCAGGATACATCCACCTTGTTTTTCACATTTCGTTTTATACTGAGCCAATTCAAGTGTTTTCTCGGAGGACAGCACATCTGGAGACGTCTGGGTCTGGATGCAGAGACTTCTGGGATTCTTTTGCCTGCCCTTTTCAACTGCAAGAGGAATTAATGTAGACACAAAGATATGTGAGGAGGTTAATTTTTACTAACACCACCACGTGGGTTCAAAAATAAATAGCTAAGCCACAGAAACGCACTTAAGTGATGTTTACATAAGGAACACTTACGGATGAGAACTGGAATTGATCAAAGATTTAGATGTTTGGAATTCATAAACACAGGCAATGGGCTTCGTTCTGAATTTAAAAGATTTATGTGGGCCAGAGACTTATGCACATGAAACAAACAGGTTAGCTACCCAGAAATATGAAAGTTGTGTGGAAAATATTGATTTTTTTCCATAATTTTTAATATTCTAGTTAAATTAGTAGAGAAACCTGATGTGTGATTACTACTCTGATAACATATTCTGCAAAAAAAAAAAAAAAAAAACCCACAAATGATTGGACTTTGTTTTTCTTTTTGATTGGTCTTTGAATGCCTTTCTCTCCTATACGTTCTCTACAAACGTCTCTTCCTTTCCATGTGGACAGCCTGGTTATTACAAAGATTTATACTGCAGACTTGTCATTTTCTAATCTCTAATAAATCAGCATGTACACTGAAAATCCACTCACACTGTGCCCTTAAGTTTAAGTTCATCGTTAAGCGTGCCATATGCTTGACTATCCTATCTTATTTCCTGTCCTTTTTTTTTTTCATTTTCCCCCCAAGTAGTAATAATGGGTGAAGTATTTTCTGCAAGCACATGTAATGCTCCAAATCTATCAGTGATACCACATGAGGTGGTCATTCACTTCCTGTGCCATTGGGCCCTGGGAATAACTCTATTTTAAATGAAAATTTTGTTCGGTTTTGGAACCATTCCAAATATTTCAGTCACTTTAAATAATTAAGCAGAACTGGAAAAGCAGGAAATAAACTGTTTAGCTTCATGAAATCAACAGGCCAAATAATCAAAACAAATCTCAACATGAAAAAGAAACACAGAAACTAAAAAAGAAATGTCTCCTTATTATGACAGGAATTCCCTATGGGGTTCACATTCTGTGGTAACAAACAAATCTTAGAAAACTTTTGAAGAAGTTAGTGATTATTTTCTCTAATTTTTCACAGAGAGGCAAACTACTATTGTGATTGCTTGAAGGAAAATAAAAAAACCTCAATATCCCTATTACAAGAACCAATGGCAAAACACACTCAATACACTCTTAAGTATAAAACAGGAAAATGGGTCTCATTTCCTGTGGTTGCTTTACATGGTTAAACAACTCATTTGAATTAAAATTTGATAATCCTCAGTTCTAAAACAACTAAAATATCTGTTGTGTTTTATTAATAATTAAAGAGGAGAAAGTATTTGTTCGTTATTGTTTATTAGTAGTAGTTAATAAGTTGCTTATCAATAATTTCCTCTTTCCTAGCATACGGAGAAAAGATTTGACAACATTGTCATGACAGTCCAGAAAAACAAATTGTTATAGAGTGACTTACTATGTGATTCATTATCAAATGGTTAATCTTAACTGTCAACTTGGTTGGATTGAGAGATTCCTAGGAGATTAGTAAAGCACACCCGCAGGTGTGTCTTTGAGGGTGTTTCCAGAGACAGTTAACTAAGGGTGGGAAGACCCACCCTTAATGTAGGCAACACCACCCAATAATGCTGGGGTCCCAATGAAATAAAAGGGGAAGAAGCACAGCATTCTCTTTGCTTCTTGGTTTCTATGATGTGAGATGCTCTTCTGTCAATGCCCTCCCAACCATCATGGACTGAAACCTAAAAGTGTGAGCCAAAGCTGTAAGCTGTTCATGGTTCTGCCCCCAAGATAAAAAGCCTAACATACCATATTATTTTAAAAAATCTAAATATTTAACACGTTATAAGAAACAGAACATAGTAATTATGCAATGTTCCATTCAAAGCATCCTCTTTCCCTCTTTTCCTTTTTTTTTTTTTTACAGCACTGGAGTTTGAACTCAGGGCCTCACACTTGCTAGGCAGGCACTCTACCACTTGAGCTACTCCACCAGCCCTTTTTGTGAGGAGTTTTTTCAAGATAGGGTCTCCTGAACTATTTGCCTGCGACTGGCTTCCAATGATCATCTTCCTGATATCTGCCTCCTGAACAGCTAGGATTACAGGCATGAACCACAAACCACCAGTGCCAGCTTCCCTCTCCTTTTTGAGATGGCATCACTGTGCTGCCCAGGCTGACTTCAAAGTCCTGGGCACAAGCAATCTTCCTGCCTCAGTCTCCCAAGTAGCTGGGTCTATGGATCCACATTACTACCTGGCTTCCTTTTCTTTTGATCCTCCCAGTCACCTAGATAAGGGAAGGTAAGGCTAATGGATGTGAAAGGGTTTCCCTAGGTGTAGACCACCTCTTTGAGACAGAGTCAGCCAGAATTCAGACTCTGATGCAAGTCTCTGCTGTTCCCACACTTTTTTGGAAAGTGGTTTAGGTGGAGATGTAATGTATTACATAAATAAAAATAAAAATTTATATGAGAAACTTAAAATGTCACTTTAATATGTTCAAGATAGATAGAAGTTCATTCTCCTGAGGGATTATCATTGCTCTATGTCCTACTGATACTTAAAAATTCATTTATTTATTGATACATTGCATTATTGTTGAGTACTCAATAAATTTTCTTTCTAGAATTTCTATGTTCACTATTACTATTAACACAATTTTAGTGCTTTAAAACTGTCAAGTTATAATTATTTACAAAACCTAAGAGGTAAATCTTTTTGTGGTACTGAAAATCAAACTCAGGGCCTCATGTATGCCAGCCAAGTGCCCTACCACTGAGCTTTATCTCTGGTGAGGTAAATTTTTAACAGTAACATTTTTGAAGCAAATATTCTTAAAGAATCTTTTTTTTTTTGCTTCTAAGAGTATGACAAAAATACCACAGAATACTTATAGAAATACTAACAATATTTAGCTTAAGTTAGGGAATAGGAATCAGGCAGATATAAAGTGCATCCTTAAGCATTTTTATACTTTATAACTGGGGGGTAGTAGTATAAAATTAAAGCACAAATAAAATTATTTTTAGAAGGTAGTTAAAATGAATTTTGAACATTGTTAAATAAGAATATAAGTGTGCAAAATTAATTTTAACCATCTCTTTAAAATAATCTATTCAGAATTCTTCCTTGTGGAATCTAGACAGGAATCTAAATAACATAAGTTTTGTTAGTGACTTGGAATTTATGATCAAGGAGGAAAAACATGTTGACATATTATTGTCCTACAAGTCCATGCCTTCAATTACACAGAATACTCTCTACCTGGAGCAAGAAAAGCATGTTGTGACCTCAATCTTCTGCTCCACATTCTGTGCTCCCTCAGGACAAAATTGTAGCTCAAAGCAACTTATGACCCAGTTTGCATCTTTCCCTTGCCTCACTCCTGGCTCAGTTGAAGATCAGAGATGACACAAAAATCTCCAATGGTGCTCAAAGCCCTGAGGCTCATAATAAACACAGAACTTCATAATACTGAAAAGTGAAGAGTTTCCCTAAGTCCTGCAAGATTATTTACATGAAATTAGTATAATACGAGCTAAACTTTGCCCTTTTCTCTTTATGTGGCTTACATGTGTCTCAAGATATCACTGTTTTGATAATGCAGCTGAATTTAAAAACATAATTTTGATTCCATTAACAGAACATGTTCTAATTTCAAGAACCAATTTAATCAGAAACCTTAAAATTAAATGTTAACCTCTACATCAATTCAGATGTTTCCCAATAAGATGCCTATCACTATCATTTCTGATCCAACTTCACTGGGATTTATTCTAATGAAACTGAAACCTCCATCAGGGAAACAAGTCTTGACGACAGTTGGCCACTTGAAAAACAGCTGAACAACACTATTTGCTTTGTTCTTTCTACTTAGAGACCTCAGTTTCATCGATTTAAAAAGTAGGAAAATGAAATGACTTATCATCTTTTTAAAGAAAGCAGTTGGGAAAGGAGGAAGAGGCCCATTTTTCAGGTTCAAGCTCCTCAGGCAGATGACCCCCAAAAACAGTTTTGGCCATCAAGTCACAGACTAACTGTCATCACATGGAGAGTTAAGGACACACCCATCCTAATACCAACACTGTATGTTTATTTCATCTGCTGGCTTTTCTAAATTACTAAAATCATTTGGAGATAAGACTCTAAGGGCTTGACCTAGGTACCATGAAACACAAAACGAAATATGGACTTAGCAACATAATGTTGCCTGGTGGGTTTAGACAGGGGTTTGAACTCATGTTGCCTGGTATTTTTCCTATCCTCATTGACCTATTCACTCAACAAGTATTTATGAAAATCCACTGTAATAGCACTGCTGAGGCACCTTAGAGGCCAGGAAGGCATCACATGTGTGAGACAGCACTGCCCAGGGTGCAGGAAGACACATGGGACCCTTTCTGACCCATGTTTCCCTAGTACTAATCTCCTCCTGTTCCACTCTACCAATCGGCCTGTACAAGGGCAACAGGCCCTGGATGGTAAGTGCTTCCACTACATATTGCAAACTAATGTTTGTGATCTAATAAAGCATAGGTAACAAACTCAGGTGCTGGTGAGGGGGTCTCAATCTCTACCATCCTGGAAAAATAGACAATTCTCTTCTTAATCTGAACCAACACATCTAAAAGTCATACTAGGAAAACCCATACAGAAGTTTTTTCCTCAGCATTTGATGATAGATTTCAATCACAAGATAGCTTATGGAAGCAAAGCATTAAAATGGAAATCATTAGAAATTACGTTTTCTAATAAGAAGAAGTGCCTAGGTACACAATGGTTACCCAAAGGACTAGTGCTCCTTCCATAAATGTCTTTTTAACAACTTGGTTCTTGCTCTCAAGAAACCCATGCAGCAGAGACAGAAATATGCCATCATCAGTGGCAGTATAATTAGATATTAGAATTATGTATGGTGGGAGTATAAGCAGGGAAACTCCCAGATCCAGGGCAGAATCCCCAGAAGCTGAGTTGGGATGAACACTTGCACATG